GGTTGGAAAGCCCCAGGTTCATGTTACATTTTGCTGAGCTCTCCCTGTCCTGGGTTCTCATGGAATACTGCAAACATTCCTTATGATAAGGACAAGGGAGGGTGAGCAGTGTCTGCGGCAGGTGTCCCTGGGTGGCTGTTTGCACTTTAAATACAAGTTGAATGGGAGTGCTGCTTCCAGCTCATGGCAGAGCCTGGTGCAGGATGCACAGGCAGACAAACACTGGCAGAGCCAAGCAGGTACCCTCGGCTCTCACAGAACCCTTTCCTTTGTGCCAAGCCACGTGTGTTAGGCCAGTCCTCATGGAGCAGGTGGTGCTGGCTCACTGAGTGAGGTCATCCGAACACCGAAGTGTAAACAGGCAGCTTCCTTGTTGCTATCCTCTTCTGCCTCCTCCTCCTTCTCTTCCCTCTCTCCATCTCCTCCCTCTTTTTCTGCTTCCTTCCTCTCCCCATTTCTTCCTCTCCCTCCACTTCTTCTCTTTTGTTTGATTTTTGAGACAAGTTTTTGTGTGAATCTAAGACTAGCTTTGAACTTACGGTCTTCCTGGCTGAGCTGGTGCTACAGATACGAGCCACCACATCTGTTCCCCGTGTTCTTCTGAAGTATTTGTAAGGGCACTGTTCTACATAAGAGAAGCCATTTGACTGAGCCTCAGCAGATGAGTCCCACTGCCTATGTGGAACTGCCTTCTCCAGCCCATGTCTCCTTTGCGCATTGGAAACTGAGTACTTGGGCTGTTCTACCTACCTGCTGCACCTCTTTGGAGAAGTCACATGACGTCTCGGTGGTTCCTGTTCCCTTCTCTGCAGTGGCTATTCTGCCTTATTCTGTGGGGATCATAAGAGACACAGTGCCATTATCCCTTGAAGACTGTCCCTACCCCAAAACGACCAAGAAGGGATAAGACACCATAGAGTACACGCTGCAGATGCCACTGCTTAGCATGTCCTAAGGTGGTGGAATTATTTCAAGTTTTAAAATCCCTACTAGAGAAGATATGCTCAACCTTGTTCTACTTAACAACATCAGTGTCCAAAAAACATCTTAGAAAAAGAGGTGGGACTGAGCAACTCACCTTAATACTGACCCTCGTGTCTGCATCACCCCAGACCATGGGAGGAGACCTGGTAACCAGTATGGCAGGTTGATTAGAAGAAGCATACACTTATCCAGGATCAAGCTAAAGAGCTGAGATAAAATCACTTTCCAGTGATTCCTGAATTCCCATAGGGAGAAATCCCAAGTGTCAAAGCTACTTCTCTTGTCTCCACCTTGAGGCTGATTATCGGGTTAAGAGGGAAGCTAGGCATGTATGCTTCCCTGTCTTGGCCACAGGCATAGAGAAATTATAGAGGAACACACTGAAGCGTAGCTGCTCTCACAAACAGCAACATGAGTTCCTCACACACCTAGAATGGAATGGTATCCTTGAAGGAAGTACCAGGCAGAAACCCACAGAATCCAAGCACATGATAGAGGGTGAGAATATCAGTGAATAGGAGAGGCTGCAGGTTGGGGAGTGCCCTGTCCTAAAGCTGGGCTCATTGTGAGAGGAGCTGAAATTATGTCACCTATTTAGGCAGCAGATCACATGAGAGCTACTTGGGAGCCATGATCCAAACACTGTGTCCAGACCATCAGCATCATGTGTAAGGCCATACGGCCAGGAGTCCCCCACAACCCAGGACTGCTGTATGACAGAAGCTGGGCCCCAGTGGAGTGAAACACCAGATTAACCCAAGGAAAGACTAAGGCCAAGGAATTCAGATCCAGAGGGAAAATGGGAAACATCATTCTGGGTTGTTTTTTTTTTTAAAGAACTATAGATGTGATTAAAGAAGATGGAAGCTAAGAAAGAGGAGCCACTGACCTTGGAAAAACTAATCAGGAATAGGAATTAACATATGCTGATTTACATTTAAGAATTTAGGAGCTGTGTGAAAAAGAACAAAATTAGGGAGACAGGACTGAAGGAATCAGGCAGATGTGTGCAAAGACATAGAAGCCAGCAAGAGCTGTGGAGGCTGCCTGAGGGGCTATGGGGCCCTGGTAGAGCTTCAGAAGCTGGGGCATGAAGGACCAGGGAGCGGTGTTCCCAAATGAGGTCATTGTTATAATTTCTGGTATGAAGAGTCCTGGACTGTAGCTACAACAGACTCTTGCCCCAGATTTGAAAAGGAAACCCACAAGAGAGCATCGTCTAACAGAGTGTCTAAACATAATGAGAGCATCTACCTTCATCTTGAGCTGCTTCCTGCACATGCTGTCGGCTTTGCCAATAAACCGTGTCCTCAAAATACCAAACCCACTGGCAGTTCTTGCCTTGTAGCCCTTTCTAGTGTGGATGTTCTTTTGTTACCTCTGTCAGGGCTACACTGTTCTTTCCTTAGGAAACTTCCCAGAATTCCTCCTTCAGTCTTACTCCTGTTGACCACTTCCCAGAATTCCTCCTTCAGTCTTAACTCCTGTCGACCACTTCCCAGAATTCCTCCTTCAGTCTTACCTCCTGTCGACCACTTCCCAGAATTCCTCCTTCAGTCTTACCTCCTGTCGACCACTTCCCAGAATTCCTCCTTCAGTCTTACCTCCTGTCGACCACTCCCCAGAATTCCTCCTTCAGTCTTAACTCCTGTTGACCACTTCCCAGAATTCCTCCTTCAGTCTTATTCCTGTTGACCACTTCCCAGAATTCCTCCTTCATTCTTACTCCTGTTGACCACGAGGTAGACCCGGCAGCCTCAAGGCTCTTGCACTGTTGCTGTTCTGTTCTGGTTGTTTGACTGACTTTGGCTCCCGAGGCTCCATGAGCTTCCTTGCATTTGGGGTCACCGTGGCTCATGGACACATCAGTTAGTTGATCGTGCCCATCGGCACCTCCAAAGTCACAGGGAATGAATCAAACTATAAGTTAGTGCATTATATAGTTGCCACACTAGGCCCAGAGACACAGCAGAGAACAACTAGGGGATGTATAACTGCTTATGGGGCAAAGTTAAGTTTCCTGCCTAAATAGAACAAACACACACACACACACACACACACACACACACACACAGTGTTCTACCACAACTTCCATGTTGATTAAAACCTTTAAAAATCAAAATAAGAGTTTGTAAGTTTATTTATTTCATTTTATGTAAAAATGTAAGTGCCCGCATATACATATATGTACCACATACATGCCTGATGTCCATGGAGGCCAAAACACATCGCATTTTAAAGTGTCTCTTTTCATGGTTTCTTCAGTGGTAGATGGAAAGCCATGTGAGAGGGAAGGGATTGGCTTGTTTTAAGTTGTTGTGTTGGGAACCTTTTTTGTTCCATATGTGACCATTGGTCATGTGTCACAGTAAGGACACCTTTGATTGTATCTCTTTGCAATTTTCAAGACTTTTGTTCATAGTAATTCCACTTAGTATTCAGGAAACCAGTCCATCCACAACTTCCAGTGTATCTCAGAAATGGTCCAGTTGAAGTGGGGTCCCTTGTTAGTGTAACAGGAGAGAGGGAGTTGATAGGCAGGCCTATGTGCTCCACACAGGGACACACAGATTCTCCAGTGAGTTCTGTAACATGTAACATCCAGAGAAGCCAGAAGGAAGAATTTCAAGGTGCCACAATAAAACCTATGAACTGAAATCCTAAAAGCATCAGGAGCTTCATTCAGAGATCATTCTTTGTTCCATATGCAATACCCACAAAGCTCCTTGCTATGGCCAGACCCACTACATGTTTGGAAATAGAAACATTTAAAACGCAAATGGAGCCACAGAGAGCAAGCACAATGATGGCCCCAAGATGACTTGACTACCAGAAATTGGAAAGAAACAGAAACTTAACAACCAGAAACCAAATGCAAAAAAAAAAAAAAAAAAAAAAACCAGTGCCCTGGGGCAGATTGCTTGGATATCATGCATAAGGACTTAGGTTCAATCCCCTGAACCCCTGAAAAAATAAAACAGCCACAAAAATCATTGCCATCTCATGCACAGCTAGTTAGCTGAGATCACCCCACATCATAGCAGAGCTGATAAAATGAAGACCGAAGTCTTTAAGGAAATCCAGTGAATTTAGCATCTTCCATTTAAGAAGACAGGGAAGAAAGCAAGCATTCTTGATAGACACAGTATTGGATCCTTCTATTGAAGGTATAGTCTCTTACTCATGTAAAAATAAGAGAAGTAACTTGGACGGCCTAGCTTTGGTATTCCAGCTGTTCACTCAGGCCTCCTGGAGAACCTTGTGTCTTTCCTAAGCAGATAAATGGGCTTGGTGGCTCTAATAGAGACAGCCTCTTCTGAGGGAGAGCTGAAATCCAGGACACTCTGACCTCCGTGAACAGAATAAAAGCTGGCAGATTTTCAAGCCTTCTTGAGAGGGACCATTAACTGAGCATGTCTTCTCCGGATGGATATTAGTTCACCAACTTCCTAAGCTTCTCCCAGGTGCTTCCGGTCAAGATGGGGAGGGCTGTCCTGGGAGTCTGCAAACACATATTTGGGGTGTCCATTGATCTGAACAAGGACTAACTCTTAACCCAAAGATGGCCAGGGACAGGTGACACAATGGAGGCTGAATGTCTGAAGGATGTTTCCTGTGTCTTTCAACTCCTAGCAACCCACTTGTCTACATGGGACCACTGAGCTCTGTTTCGGACAAGCATAGCTTTTCTCTTGATCATCCTTACCAGCCTTGAGACACATATTGATTTCTGTGCCTAAGAAAAAGGATCGCGTGTGTGTGTGTGTGTGTGTGTGTGTGTGTGTGTGTGTGTGTGTGTGTAGGGAACGAGGCCATTTTACTGAACCATGATGGCTTTGTCACAGCTTTTGATAGTCTCATTAAAGAAAAGCAAGACTGGCTTTCATCCACCATCCACAATCCAGAATTGTGCTTGACCATGCTCGCTATTTCTGAATGGCTATCCCAGCGCCTCATGTGGTCTCTGCTCCATTGCAGTGTTTAACTGTCTCTGTCCTTTCTTTTTTTTCCTCCAGCGGAAGATACTAGTCTGTCTCAAAAGAAGAAGGTGACTGTGGAAGATCTTTTCAGTGAAGACTTCAAAATCCATGACCCGGAGGCCAAGTGGATAAGCGGTGAGTTCGTAGCTTGGAGCACCCGGGAGATGCCTCCCACCCCACCTCCTCTCTGTCACCCCTGTGTTTGTCCTCTCCCTCCCTTGTGGCTGTGAAGCTCTGCAGAAGGTCTGATCTCTGGCTGTGACTGTCAACACATTGCCATCATAAGAACACGTGACCCTGGGAGAGCCACTCCTTACTCTACAGGCTGCCTCACAGACATCAGCGTGCCTCAGCTTTGTGAGAAAGGGGTCTGTTGAGGACCCATCCTCCATCATCTGCCATGTGTCACCTCCCTCCTGGAGCTGGAGCTTCCTCTCAGGGAGAGGAAACCTGTTGCTAAGCAACAGAGCCCATGGTGCTGCTCCGCTGAGCCTGCCTTCTCCATGGTACCAGTCCTCTTCCCCGCCTTAAGTTCACTTTCACTCACCAGGGAACTAGCTGTGACCAAGGACTGCACTGGGTCACTGCCAAATACAGGGATCTGTGCAGACCCTGAGAAATATGCCTTCCCTCTCAACTTTAATCTGGATCCAACCTCATTTTATAGTTTGGGGGACTTTTTCTTAAGCAACCAAACAAAACAGAACCGATGGCAGTATGTTCCTCTTGATGCCCAGGATGATGAATTTCATCTAAAGGGTCTGAAGTCCCATGAGCCTGCTCCTTGGCCCTCACTGGCAGGTGGCATCTCTCCTGCTGTGTCTGTGTCTGTGCTTTGCATGATTTTCCCTTTAGGGAATGCCCCTGACCCCTCAGGTTGGCAAGCCTTTCTAGTGCGTCAGGCCCAGGCCCAATACGAGAGCATTCCAGAGAGCAGCAGATTTCCTGAGAACCTGACACGGCAGAGCTGGTCTGCTGCACAGTGGGCTGGCCACCCAGCTGACCCCCAGTTTTGTGTCCTTTGCCGCACAGTGGGCTGGCCACCCACCTGACCCCCAGTTTTTTGTTTGTTTGTTTGTTTGTTTGGTGTGTGTGTGTGTGTGTGTGTGTGTGTGTGCACAAGAATACACACATTTGTGTTTGGGCAGGTCTGAGCACTCAGGCAATGCTCAATGTTAGACCTTGAGAATAAAGTACAGTCTCATTGGGAGCCCAAAGATGTATTCTGGAGAGAAACATTGATCCTAACTCAATAGATGCAGAGAGATGGAATCCTGCTGCCTCACTCTCCGTGGGAAGGCATTTTGGAGACTGTGAGCAGTCTTAAATGGATGGCTAGGGTTTGTTAGATAAGAGAGAACAGACCTCTGGGAAATGTAAGTCTAAAACATCAGCCTGTGCTAAACTGTGATCAGAAGAACCAAATACAAGCTGAGAGACAATACCCAGAGATAAGAAAGTAAAACAAATCCAAAAGGGGTGTGTGTGTGTGTGTGTGTGTGTGTGTGTGTGTGTGTGTGTGTGTGTGTGTGTACAGAAACAGATTCCAGGGATACATGGAAGGATAGAGATAAGGGGTACCAGATCCAACTCTGGGGCTCAGAGATCACTGGAGGAGGACCTAGAAAGATTCCAAGAGGGACCAAAGAGTAGAGCTGTGCACTTTTTTATTAGGTTGCCATGGTTTCAGACAGCCTAGTCCTAAAGCAATAGTCTAAATGAAATGAGCAGGGTAGTGGCTGTGGAAAAGAAGAGGAGGGAAGGGGAGGGGAGGGAAGGGGAGGGGAGGGGAGGGAAGGGAAGGGAACGGAAGGGAAGGGAAGGGAAGGGAAGGGAAGGGAAGGGAGCATGTAAGCCATGAAATGGAGGTGCAGGTTGTGTAAGTTGCTGAAAACCAGGGCCCTTTCTCTGAGCTGCCCCCCCCCCCCCCCCCACCGCCACTGCTGTCTGCGGCATGTGCTGGGGACTTGTTCTGACTAAATGAGAATGGGCTGCCTAGAGATGTGCCGACTCTACCCAAGGGAAACCAGCCAGAGCCCTTTTCCCCAAAGTGGGGGGTTAGTTTAAGCCTCCTCCTCTTCTTTTTCTCCACACTCTCTTCCCCCACTTTCCCCCTCCTCCTTGGGATAATCTTTGGGGTGTCTGGTAGGTCTTAACCTCTCAATAAGTACCTCACACCTATTAAGTCATTTGTTTCTCACAGATTCCACCGGTTCCATTTTAATGTGTGTAAACTGAGGCTCAGAGTGTTTAAGTAGCTCAGCTTATATCCCATATCAACCTAATTTTCTCTGGTATTCACAAACTGCTACACCAGGTGGAATCCGGGTCTCCTGTCTCCAGGAAATTTCTCTTGTAACCTCACCAGCCTCCTTTTCAGGTTTTAACCAGTTTCTGGGCTGTGAATATTTCAGAGTTCCTACCATCTTTTTTTGGTTTTTTGGGTTTTTTTTTTTTTTTCAGGACAGGGTTTCTCTGTGAAATAGTCCTGGCTGTCCTGGAACTCACTCTGTAGACCAGGCTGGCTCTGCCTCCCAAGTGCTGAGATTAAAGGCGTGCACCATCACTGCCTGGCCCATCTTTTTAACTTCTCTGTTCTTGAAAGTAACAGGACAACCAAGTGCTGGAAGGAAATGGAGACTTTCTCTACTGAGGAAGGAACTTAGATTTTTTTGGACACATCAATCACTGGTGTTAACATGAATCTTGGGTTTAATATTGGGGCTCATGGTCTAGAAGTAAGGCCCTGTTTTTATCATAAAGAAACATGCTAGGTTGGAGTTTTAAGACTATAGGTTGGTTCTTTTTAAATAAAGTAATAGCTTCATTGGTAATATAATAATTGCATAAGTGATTAAAATGTAATTGATAGTATAAAGTTGTAAAACCCCCAGCAAAGCTCCTTGGCCTCCGAACAGCCATTCTGAGCACTGAGGTGTCGAGAGTTGGGACTGGGCCAGTGTTTGTGTGGTATCATTATACCAGCTGAATGATGCTTTTATTTGTGAGTTAATCAGAATAGCGGTTTTTATTTACTTTATCGTTTCTTAAGCCTACCTCCTCTGAAAGCTGGAAATCTTCTAGAATCCTGAAACTCTTGTAGGATTTCCTTGTACAATGGAGAAGAGCAGAAACCAGCAGATCTGACAAGCTCTCTGCTTCTCGGAGGTCCCTCCCGCCTGCTGGGGAGAGACTGGTGGCAGCTAGGTCCTTCCACATGTGTGCTGCATTAAGTAACGTCTCATGTTTGTGACAGTTACTGCACTGTCTTCTCTACTTTGGGGACTGTCTTAGTCACTGTTCTGTATTGCTGTGAAGAGACACCATGACCACAGCAACTCTTAGAAAGGGAAGTATTTAATTGGGGGCTTGTTTACAGTTTCAGAGGCTTAGTCCATCATCATCGTGGCAGGGAGTATGGCAACATGCAGGCAGGTGCTGGAGAAGTAGCTGAGAGCTACATCCTGATCCACAGGCAGAGAGACAGACAGAGAGACACTGACTGGGCTGGCAGGGGCATTTGGAACCTCCAGGCTGACCCCCAGGTACACACTTCCTCCAACAAAGCCACACCTCCTAATCCTTTTCAAATAGTACCACTCTCTGATGACTAAGCATTCAAATATACGAGCCTATGGGGGCCATTCTTATTGAAACTGCCACAGGGATCTTTTCCGCTATGTTCTGGGGTTTTGTGACATGGGACAACATTGTGGCTACCACTTCTTTCCAAACTGGATCACCTCAGCCTGAAGTGATGGGCAGCCTCAAACCTTCTCCCCCCTCCTCACCCCTCCATCCTTCATCCATCATCTTCAGCAGAAATGACTTGGGAGAGGTTGCAACACTCACCCTGCCTGTGTTCACCCACACTTCTAGCTACCAGTGACCCACCTCCTCTCTACACAGCATCTAAAGAAATCATAGGTAAACTTTCACTGGCTTGAAGAATAATTGGAGGGAACCTCTACTCCTCTGAACATTTTTATTCATGAGAATATGCTGATCTTGAAATAAATGCATCCTCATTTCTGCCCCATTCCACACTCACATCTTACCCTTCATCTTGCCCATGTTCCCACTGGGGTTCCACCTGGTCTCCCTGTCATCTACAACCTGGGGCAGCTGTCTACCATGATCTCTTTCACACTCCACTTGCCATGCCTTGGAGCCCACTCTAATTAGGCATCTACCCCAGGCTCCTGAACTTCCTCTTGTCAAGGTCACAGAGGACCTCCAGGTTAGGGAATGCCAATGTCATTCCTCAAGGTCATTTCTAAGACCTTCCTCCTTCTGACAGCAGTGTATGCTGGAGTGACTGGCCCTTCTCGAGGCAGTCCTCACTGATTATGGCCCGGCTGTCCTGTCCTCTGGTATAGCCCCTACCTTGTGGGCAGCTCCCTGCACCTCAGGCCTCTTGCTGGTGGCCTCTCTTCCTAGCACTCTCCATAATGGAAGTCCCAGGCCCTAGCTTGGTCCTGCCTTCCTCCACCTGCACACTCTTGCTGTCAGTGTTCTGACCACTCCTAAATGCACATCTCCAGACCAGAGCCCTCCTCGGACTTCCCATATGCCTCGAAGACCTTACAAACTTAACCTTAACACACATCTCCAAATCTGAGGTCCTGATCCCATCCAAAACCATAAACCCACACAAAGAAAACAAATCTATGTCCCTCCCATAGCTCCCCAATGTGGGCTGACGGGAAACTTACCCATTTGAATCTCCTGTACCATCCTACATGCTGCTTTTTTGGCAAATAGTCCCTTTCTAAGCCTGGCTGGGATTGATGTTAATTCTAAAATGAGGGTATTGTGTTTTTACATGGAGTCCACCGCCCACCTTGTCATTTTTCAATTCTTTGTACAAGACAGAGTTTCCTACTGCCCAGGCTGGACTCCAACTGCCTATGTAATAAAAGATAGCATGCCCAGTGCAAACTTTCTTCTGGTCACGCTCATTTTCTTGAATCCTGCCACTTGTTGGCAGAAAGCCCTCTGTGTCTCGGGACACAGAGCTGGAGAGACTGGAAAATTGGAGAAAATTGCCTCCTTTGAATGTAGGAAAGTATCAGCTGGCTGGTTGATACTGGAAAAGTATATGTTTGAGGAGATAAAATTGGCCTTGGTGCTCA